GCTAAAGTTTGGGGGAGGGGAGGGTACAGTCTGTAACTAAATGTCGACTTTTTTCCGCTTTTTAAAAGGAAATCACGAGAAATAACTAGCAAACATGATTATTTAGACCAGAAACAAATGATTGAAGCGATTTTTTGTCAATTTTTCGAAAATTTCAAAAATACCCTAAATCGTCACTTAAGCCGTTTTAGCATCCGCCCCTTCATTTGGAATGAATTTATGAAATTAAACGAAGAAGGATAACATAATTACATGATACATAAATAGATTTGTGGAGATAATTCACTGGTAAATTAAACAATCAGAAACAAGTATTTAATATGAGTAATTCCATATCTGAAATCCCAAAATTTTTCCAAAAGACTGTCCTATCATTGCAGTGCCACTAGTTGTCTTTGAAATTTCTTTAAAATATTTTGTACTCAAAATGCAATGATATGCATCAGTGTTGTGATTCCTCTTGTTCACAGGTTTATCATCCTAACATTGATCTGGAAGGGAACATTTGTTTAAATATTTTAAGGTGAGTTTCCATTATAAATTATGTCTCGAAGATTTTAATGTTGTGATGTCCAAAAATATGTAGACTTGAAACAAGTTGGACCATCTTTAGTGAGCAAGGAGCACAGGAGTTAATGAGTTGATTTTCTTTAATACCTCATTTTCACCAATGTTTTGCTTGAAATACCTGTTCCAATTGGTGGCACAGCTATGTGATAAATTCTATAGTTATACTAGGTAATATGATGATTTCTAGACCTGAGTACATCTGAGAGTTCATTAAATAATTTAATAAATTTATTTCAATTTTTTTTTCATTATCAACTCATTCCAATTTTTCTGTGTTAACCCTCCCCTCCCCATGTCCAAATTGTACTCTGTTATCTATGAATGACTGAATTGCTGACAAATGCTCCATGTTTTAATATGTCCTTTATTGCTTGTTATCCTTAGAGAGGATTGGAAGCCAGTTTTGACCATTAACTCCATAATATATGGTTTACAGTACTTGTTTTTGGTAGGTACTAATTAAGTCTTTTATTATGATTGATGCCTTGATTGACTGCTTGTATCTGTGGTATTCATGTATTGTTGTCTGTTTTTGTACAGTATGCTGTAACATTATTTGAATTGACCTGTTTCATTATGATGTCACACTATGTTTTAACAACAAGAATTATGGTTGCCTGAGGGGATCAGTGTAACTGCATACCAATTAAAATGTACATAAGCAATCTTTGATACATGACATCTATCAAAACACAATACATACTTGAACTTCTACAATTGGAGAGAATATAGCCTGAGTATCAGGCTCTCTCGAAGGGGTTTGGGTCGGAGTGAGAAAGGAGAGAGAGCCTGACACAATCTTCTATCGAGAGCCGTGTTCGGCGGCCGTTTCATGGCTGAAATGCTGATTGGTCTAGAGGACAAAGGAAGTTACAGGAATTAAAATATATAATTATTATGTTACCGAACGACGCTGTGACTCTTGATATAAGTGAATAACAATTTGGGAAAGCTTTAATAGTACCCTGGTTGCAGAGGCTTCTCTTTTTTTCTTTTTTTTACTACGTTATCAAGCAGTTCTTGAATCGGTTTGTTTTTACGCGTACAAAAACAAACCGATTAACGGAAACGTCTCATATAACACTAACATTACACCAACCTATAACGGAGTAAAACAATTCAAGATTATAGTGATCAATCCTCTAGAGCTTATTAGATGTCCACAAGTTGAGAATCTGGTAAAAATCGGCATAAAAGCTGCGACTTTTAAAATCATGTACTAGATAAATTTTGAGGACATATAACCGCCACATCAAGAAATCAAGCAAACCGGAACAGCTTTTAATCGGCTTAAATTTGTCACGCGTCACGCATTGCAAGGAGGCGGAACGGCTCTTGATAGAAGATTGTGTCAGGCTCTCTCTCCTTTCTCGCTCCGCCCCAAACCCCTTCGAGAGAGCCTGATACTCAGGCTAGAGAGAATACAATGTACAAGTGTATCTAAATTTCCACTGTTACATCTTTCCCCGATGTAAATATGTTATGACATCATAATGAAATAGGGCAATTATGAGATGTCATTCCTGTAATGATTGAAATGGTAAAAGTATGTTTTTCTGCTTTTAAAAAAACTGCCTCAGACTGGACTTATCTAGTGGCCCTCTCACATTCTAACTGAAAGAAAATTCTCAGTTTTTGTCAGAAATATAAATGCCCATTGTAATTAATATAACCCAAGCAACAACCTTCAATTTTTTATTATTTGCTACCTCTTGATTTATTCATGAGATGTACAAGTAAAAATTCATTGAAAAGTGGCATATGGTGCTATCAGTCTGAGAATTTTTGCATTGTTTGTTCAACTTTGTATTATGTGCAGGAGTAAAATAAAATGTTATCAATTTATTAAATTTATTTTGGTAGGAACCAAATCCTGATGATCCTTTAAACAAAGGTAATTACATGTAAAAATATGTTTTAGTTGTAGAGTTACATATTCGATGAGATGCCTACACTACAGCATCTGTTAAAAGGCCTGGGAAGTGACTAATGCTAGCTCAATAATGCACCTACATGTATCAATGTCTTGCCCCAACGGGGGGAGCCCAGGTGCACATGGGCTATTGACATATGAACCTAGCCCCTGACAGGGACTGTTAGACTTTTATTGACATAGGGATCTCCCAGGGTAGGGTTTATTGACAATTTGATCAGAGACTAAACAATGTTATTTCATTCATTTACAACTGCAGGAAAGACTGTTAAACATGCGTTAATCCAGGATTAACTCCATAGGTTTTTTAAGAGCTAAACGAGACTCAGCTTTTATTGAGCTTTGAGCAACTCGGCCCTGGTGTACTTTACATTAAATCGTTATAATGTGAGGGGCCTATTGTCATTTGATGTAGAATTTGAGAGGGGCTCTTTGACATTTGTTTTCCAAAAGTTTCAATAGGCCCTGGGTATGCCCAGGCTCCCCCCATTGGGGCAAGACATTGATAGGTGCATAACACAGGTGTAAACAATAGACACACTACAATATTGTTCAGCTTGCACTTCCATTAATCCCAACGTGCAAATCCATTCTCAACTTGGTACATTGTTTTTTCTTGCATCCCTTTGTATCATTTTTCAGATTTGTATCTTCTCAAAATAGTAGTTGTTATATTACTTTTTGAGGACACTTTTTGCAGTTCGTGTCAGATTTTTGTGAACTAGTAGATTTCAATTGGATCCATTCCAGCAAATTTCCTCATTTTAAGCAACACACACAGACAATTTAATCCCCCTGACCCGTTAATGCAATGTTGTCATTGAGCATGTTACCATAGTACACAACCATCCAAAAAAGACCCAACATTCTTGATGAAATGGGGCTAAGGGGGAGAACTGTGAAAAGTAGAGGAGGAAAATGTTAGGCTGGAGACAAATAATCCTATGGTGAAAGGTTTTTAGCGGCGACTGTAGTCATGTAATGTTCCCTTTTGTTTAAGCTGGCAATAAGTCTGCATCATTCTATATATTGCAACTGCAAGTGTTGAATTAGTGTTTTTTGTTCATTCGCAGAAGCTGCAGAAGTACTAAGATCTAATCGACGACTCTTTGAACAGAATGTCCAGAAAGCAATGCGAGGAGGCTATATTGGTGGTGTTTATTTTGAACGTTGCCTTGTAAAATAGTATAAACATTTAATATTGAAAATAATATTTAATGTCTTGCAACTGAAGTACTGTATTTGGTTGCAAGAGGCACCTATTTCTAGGAGAGGAGTAGTATATATGAACCTCCATGTTTTCCTGCTGATCAGCCCAACACTGATGTTGCAGAACTGCTAAATGAAATCGGTAAGAGAAAGCAGGATAACTCAAGGAGAGCATTGCAGACACTTTCCATTTGCTTATTTGCTTTCCATTTTTGAAAAGATTATTGAAAGCAATCAATAATATTCTCCCTGCCTGTAGACTGATTGGTAAAATGGTAGACATGGCCATAACATTGTTTTGTACTGCCTCATGCACCAATACAACAGATTTTCTGTGGTTGACTAGCAGCTCAATTCTGAATGGTTCTGCCATTTTTTGAAGCAGTCTACTAGATTGGAAAGGCCTGTTTCTTCATCTGCATATACATCGCTTTACATAGGGGAAGATTCAGGATTTGTTGTTATAAGTGAATTTAGGTTTTGAACTAATCCAATTGCTGAAGCAATTGTACAGCACCTGATATGACATTTTTGGGACTTCTTATCAAGTTAATTGAAAAAAATGATGGGTTTATAAAGGTATCATTTAATCTAGGACCAAAGAGGATCACTCTGAAATTTAAACAACATGTCTAAATATGAAAAATATTGTAATTATAATTATATTTCCTGCAGAAGAAGCCTTGTTAATTAAGTGCATATGATATTAGCTTTAATTATTTGCTTTCCCATGCTCCCTTTTGGTCCTTGTTTCAATGATGTAACTACCCTCCAATGCAGGCAACTGCTTTTAGTCAGCTATTGCTTTGGTTTGGTTTGATTCCTGAGTTAAAGACAGAAAAGACTGGGAACTAATTGAGACAATGATTTTTCAATATTAGGATACAATACATTCACAATCAGCTATCAGTATGAGGATTAACATTGAGACTCTTGGCAAGGTTTAATCCTAGTGTCCATATGATCATCCAAATTGCCTCACACTGGTTTAGTAATGTTCTAGTTTCCTCAAGGGTTTAAAAACAATGGAAAAACATGTTTTTGGGCAATTTGGAAGATTGTGGGCATCAGCATAGTTATTAGAGGGAGATATCTCCCTCTACTAACTATGACATTAGGCATTTTTTAATAAATCTTGTAGAGTTAGTCTGTTACTTCCTGGTGGTTGCATGACAATGTGGTTGAAACAAAGCTAGTCAATGTTGACTTTCTAAAGACCAAACTTGTAGGAATATATTGTTGACACTACAATTGTCACGTGAATTCCTGCACAGACCATTGACCCTTAGAGTAGTTTGAAAAGAACCATGAACACCTAAAATATGTCTGGAATGTTAAAAGTATTTTGTGACTTCGACCTTCCTAAAAATACGGAAAGAATCGAAACATTGTTTGAGCAAGATGGCAATTTAAAGAAGGTCTGGTCTTCTTATGGTCACAGGTGAAGTTTGTTGGCCTGCTTTTATTTGATTGTTTACATCTCTCTACAAACATTTCATACATATGCTCATGGTTCTTTTAAAACAACTGTAAAGGATTGTTTCATTCCCAAGAAATAGCTGTGCTGATAGAGTGCAAATGATGTACCTGTGAAATAGTGTTAATCTATTGCTGTCTAAATAATGACATTCACTAGGAAACAATTCACTATTCGTCACTATTAATATCACAGGAATATGAAATTTACACTCTATGAAATATAATTGTTTATTATAAAAAAGAAGAATGGCTTTGCTGATCTAACATTGCAAAGTTTTCATATACATTCAGGACCCTTGCACACCTCTCAGGGGGATGGTCAGGGGGTATACACCATTGTTTAATGTTGGATAACAAACTATTTATTTTCTATATTACTCTTTCTAAATGTAAGAATAAATTAAAGCAAGGATTGCAATTTTATCTTGGTGTATGGTGTGTACCTCTTCAACGTACCCCAGAGTATCCCTGTGAGATCCATATGATTGGCCCTTGATATGCAGAGGAGAGACTGGGTAGCAGTTTTTTGAAAGATGTTGATATTTGGAGGTTCAACTATAATTATAAACTATGTTTGGGTTTTCTGCTTTCTTGAAAGGGAGTAGTTTTTAGTCTCTTCGCATCATACTGCAGAAATCCCAAGCTTAAAATCTGTGATTATTGACATATTTTTATTATAAAATGTTCTGTAAATAGGCAGCAATAAATTTTCACCATAGGGAACAAGAAAGATATTAGTCACATTGAAAGTTGTTTGTCGTTCTTTCTTTTAATATACTTGAACAATTACAGTATACAATAACTTTCTATTTCCAAAATTGATTAAAATAATACATGACAATACTAAAAAATAGGTGAACTGACATTTATTAATTATCGAGCTGAAACTCATTCCGAGTGTCAATTGAGTCTGGAAACTAGACGTCGGCCATCTTGAAAAATACCCTGAAGGCATTACTATTCATCCCCGCTTTTTTATCTGTTTATTTTTCTTTGCATAAAATGTTTTTAAAAGAAACTTATTACACGTTTTTCTCTGTCCCATAAAACTCATGTAGTACGCAAATGGGTACACAGGATTGTGCAAAAATTAACCTTGTGTATCACATAAAATTTTGTTGAAAGGTGTTTGTGTTGTTATTTACTACTAGACCAAAATAGCGGGGCAACAGCAATAGGGATTTTAACAATGAATGTGTCCCGACTACCGGGGAAATGTCCTATTTTAACATCACTCAAACGTTAAATTCCCCGGGGATCGGGGACGGGAGTTTCAATTGACTAGTGCATAAATCATATCGAGCTTTGGTGGAAAGCAATTTAAGGGCGTGGGGACGAAGGTATATTCCGTGATTATAAATTAATAGTAAGGCCACCATAAATCGAGCGCGTTTTACAGAATAAAGAGATGACTCTTTAGTCGACATCACCACGATTATTGGGCATCCCTCCCATCTGGTATTTTTCTATATCGGTGCCAATGCCATTGCCCGTCGCCCGACCGACTCTAATTTTTCAAAATCCCCCCCCCCCCCCCCCCAAAAAAAAAAAAATAAAAAATGAATAAATAAACAAATAAAGGTGAACATAAACAAAATTGTAACGAAAAATGTCAAGTTAAACTAGAAAATTGTTTTGAAAATGATAAAATAAGTAAGCCCATGTTGATATTGTTCATCAAGTTGTATCCTTTTTACATGTAAGTAAACTTCTGACAGTAATACATAACGATTTTCTTTAGTAACCATGTTTACAAAGACGTTTTTTGGTGATTTTAAATTCTATATTAGACACATTCATTTTATTGTTTTTCTATCTATTTTTTTATTTTTCTGACCGGCCGACCCACCCACGGGAAATGCTAAGCGACAGGAAACAAAATAATATATGACGATAGTACACGATAGCGATGGCACATTTTGTTTACGTTTTTAAACATCTACTGAGTAAAAGGGTCTTTCAATGTATAAATCGACATAAACTTCCAAAATCTCAAGATTTATTCTTTTCTACGTAAATCCCGAGTGCATGAAAAGGAAAACATTGAAACGCCGCTGAAGATCTCTGATGTTCTCACTAGATCCTCCCCTCCCCCCTAATTTGTAGTTTCGTTCGAATCTCACGTGGACATCTATCTCAAAGTTGTCGCGTGAGTCAGTCATGCGTTACATTGTCTGCTGTGAGTTTATGACGCGATGTGAAATTCAAATTATTCATAAGAATGGAGGGCGCTAGAATATAAAGAACAACATTCAAACACCATAAGCAGCCAGTCTCAAAATAAATGGACAATTTTGGGTCCTATATTTAATTTATATAGTGATCGAGAGGCAAACTATTCCCTGGCCTACAGGATCAGACGCGATGCTGTCACGGTCACGTTCGAACACTTTGGGCGCCGAGTACTGTTGTTTTTCCATTTCGCTCTGTTTTTTTATTCAGATACATTAAAAGCAGTAGCAGCAACTTATATAATTGTTAAAGCAACATGCCTACTGTTTTTCGGTATTTTTCATCGTTTTTCTTAGAGAGAAAATAGATTTTATTGCTCTGACGTCACATGCACCTTGCAGACTACATGAGCCAAGGACCGTGAATCACCTCTCACGTTGTCTGTCGCTTGTCAACAAGCAAAATCAAGGTTCGAGCAACTTAAACCCATCAAAAGTATCCGAAATTAATATAAATGAAAACCATTGAATGTAAAACACGCTATAAATCATTTTTTGTCATGAGAGTTAGATTCTGGGGAGTTTTTTTGGCGATGTTTTCGATCTGTTATGCAACACTTCGGTGTTGCCACGTGCAGTTGTGGTCTCTTATATAACAATCCGGCACGTGAATTTAGCAAAAATACGTAGTTAACTGCCTGGCACACTTCGACTAGTTCATAGTAAAAGTCTCTGGAAATCGAGGATTTGGAGCCACTAGCGTCCCAAGAGATATCAAATCTTATACACTTCAATTCCATACTGCTAAACCCAAATGGGTTTTGAAGATTAAGTCTTAATATTAGTGATGAGCGAGTTCTATTCGAGCGAAATGCCCATTGCCAAGGACCATACCGAAATCGATGTCGAGACGAACTCGAATTCACCAACTCCGTTCAATGCATCTGAATCAATGGGGATACCCGTGAAAAAGAAGACACCGGTATATATTATTATCATAAGCTATTAGTGATTATTGGAAACGTTTTGAATATTTAGGAATATTGCAAACTAAATCTAAAATGCTCTTGTCAAAACCTCTTCCTGTGTTACCTACCATGTATTTTCTGTAGTTTTGTTCAATTTATTTATGTACTAATATAATTTTATGTCATCATCAGTTAATCATTTTTGCGTTTTTTCGTCTTTCCTTCCCCTTCATAATCTTGATTTTTAAAAATCATTTATTAACTCAAATAGTTTCCTTTCGATACCGCCTCATTTTTAGCGTTATTTCAAAAATCCAGTAAAGCTAGAAATGAGATGTTGGTTCGGCTTAATTTCTACCCACAAAGTAGTTTAAACTATTGTAGTATTATTATACTTTATCTCACGAGTTCACTAAGACACATGCTGAATAAAAAATTTCTAAAATTCATAAACTGTCTTATGACTCAAATAATGGCCGACCCCAACAGAATTGAACCCCTCTCCTACTTTAAAATCGTATGGTTTGTGCATGACCTTATACACGATTTGCTCCTCGCGCTATTAGTCTTACATGTCAGTTCCCTAATGGTTTTCTGAGATTCAAATAAAAATAGATTTGTGAACTAGCTAGTCAATAGATTTTTTTTTTCATCATCATAAATTATTTCCTTCGTTATATTAAAGTGCTACTTGCATGAAAATGGCCTTATTTCAAAACTTCAAGCAATACAAATATATGACTCACATATATCTATTAAAACAATTACGGGAAAATATTTGTTTTGGAATTGTCGCACATCAGAGAAATTTTGATTCAAAAGATGGAAGAACAAAAGGATGGAGTAAATGACGTCATCTACTCCAACATTTTTTGCCCAAATTATTAAAGATTTGTATCAATATCTTCTTAAAATGTGTTGCTATTTTAATTTATATTTTTATGCATATATCTTTTTTTTTCAATGTATCAATGGATTTTTATGTTGTATTATTTTTTTAGTCTGAGTGCTCACATAAAGTAATTGAGAAAAGAAGAAGAGACAGGATAAATAAATGCCTTGTGGACCTTGGTCATATAATACCAAAAGCACAGGTAAGGCTAGGCAATGTAGTGGTAAAAATTACTTAATGGGAATCATTTCAGGGTTGAAAATCCCTTGTTTGCCATAAATAGCAATCACTCCTCAATATAGATGCAGAGCTTCTAGAATTGCAAGCTCATATTTTTTTCTAAAGATTACATCTGTAAAAATGTCAGTCTATATATATACTGCTTGTGTAGTAGTTTTGTCATTGTGTGGGTTAAAAGAAAATCAAGGTCAATGTTGTATGCAAATCAGGACAAATCTCTTGCTCATATAGAAGTGGTCACAGCTATGATTTTGCTTATTAATTATTAATGAATTTGATTAAATTGATTAAAATTATCAATAAATTTGATAATGTATTTTTGAACAGGGCTCAGGTAAATTAGAAAAGGCAGAAGTACTAGAATTGACAGTTGAATATATCAAGAAGCTTCACAATTCTACAATGAACAGCACAAATGGTGATAGCACTATAAATAGAGCCAGCAGTGATGGACAGAACTCTCAGGACAAAGGTACAAAACTACGTGATATATATCACTTAATTACTAGTTTGATTTTACCCTATTGAATGAAAAACAACTCTTTATATAGTATCAATTATCAGTCTAAACAATTATGTCTACATGAGAAACTCCAAGAGCATCATACACTGCACGTTTTAAACTCAGATAAGGCCTAGTCCGGGACCTAAAATCGCCGTAATTTTTGTCGATTGTAGGCGATTTTAGGCGATTTAAGCAAAAATCACCAAAAATCCATCTAAATCTAAGGCGATTTTTGGCGATTTTTGGCGATTTTAGGTCCCGGACTAGGCCTCTGATACGCAATGGATCACGGAAATCGAGCAGCGGGAAATCACTTTAAAATCGACAAAAACTGCGTTTGCAGGTTACGATCACAAAGAGAAAAGCTTATTTTCCGCCTTTTTCCCCGCAAAAACGTTTCCAAAACTCGGGGTGCGGCTTATCTACGAGAGCGTCTTATTATTGGGGGCTAGAGGGATGTGACTAAGGGGGTGAGTGGTAAAGGTGTAAAGTAACTAAATAAATGTACTTTAAAGGAAGGACAAAATGCCTTTTAACTGAGGTTTTAAATATTAAAAGAACAAAACTTTGCCATGTCAGAAATGCAAAAGGTTATTGATTAGTGACATCATATATGTTTTGTATATTTTGCTTGGATTTTCTAGCAATGTCAATATATTCAGAGTACTAAATGATCATAAACAACTCCATCATTTAGATTAGACGAGACAAAACATCGACTTACTGTTGTAATTGAATCTCACCATAGAGCAACCCACAGCATGTACAAAAAGAGAACTGCAAAGCTATTCCAAAGGCTACAGTGACTGTACAAATGAGGTGTTGCACTTTATGATCACCGTCGAAGCAACAGACCCTCAATTACCTTGCTTTCAACGGCTTATGGCACATCTCAGAAACAACTGTCGTCTGCTGGTAGACTTTGAAAATACCAAAAAAGAACACCACAAGTCAAGTTCTGTGGCAAGTCTTAAACTACACAATAAACGAAGCTTTGCTAATATCGAGGGGCAAAGTGGAGGGCCAAAAGCAAAAAGGTATCGCAATCACAATTTTTTCACGTTTTAAATCAACAAAACGAAGCGTAGTTGTTACAAGAGCTCCAAGTAACATGATACCGATTATTACAAAACACTACCATATGCAAACACTTACACTGATGTTTGCACTCGAATGGAATTGATATAAAAATGATATAGCTATATTGGTGAAATATCACAACAAAAGCAGAAATTCTAACAGCTCTGAATTTCTTCTTATTACAGGTCACGTGAGAAATCTGATAGTCCACGTGACAATTCCGCCACAAATGGTAATGGAAATGACGAACCTAAACCCCCTCCGAGTATATCTGGGATGACACCAGAGGACAAAGTTTATAAAGCTGCGTTTAAGAACAGTAACGGCGATAAAGGAAACCCAGCTAACGTCCTTCCTACGTACGCAAACAATTTGTTTCCAATCGGTAACCAAGGCTACCCGACGCCGTATGGCCTCCCGGCCTACGCCCTCTATCCTGCTGGAACACACTACGTCCCAGTCCCTATCCAAACTGGAGTTCAATTTCCTGGCAATAACCTAAGTGGATCTATTCTACCTGCACCAATTGTTGCACCAGGGCTTGGTTACTTAGGGTCACATATTCCTGGCATGTCAACGCTGCCTATTGGAGGTTTATCAAACCCTTTCAGTGGACTTGTTCCTCCTTATGTCCCTATGGGGGGTATAGGAGGGATTACATCTTTGAAAGGACCTGAGGGCCTACCAGCATACCTTGCCCAGGTGAGCTATGTCAAAGGCGTGCATGTCAAAAAAAAAAAAAAAAAAAAAAAAAACCCGGAATAGATTGAAAGGAAAATAAACAAAACCTAGAATGAGAACAAAAAAAGACAATCGTGCAAGACAAAATCTGAAGCGGAACTGATTTACAGAAATCATATCATACGTGACGTACATTACAAATCAGGGGACTTTATAACGCATTCTGTCACACTTATAACTCACGGTATAAGAGAAGTTAAAGAGGTGAAGGAAATGTACTATGATAAGGGAGACATTGCTATATGCTATACATGTATAGTTCTTGTAATTTGGCCGTTTTTAATTGTGTTCATGATGTATTTACAGGACGCAAAGTCTAAAGAAAGAAACCAAGAAAGAGCTCAAGATTCAAGCGGAAGCAGTGAAAACGACTCAAGTGGGGATGAGTATAACTACTCAACAACTTCTTCAAGTAATTTATCAGATGTCGGTATTCAGACCGATCACACGATTGACCACTCGGACTATTACAGTTCTGGTAGTCGGTGACCATTGGGCCTTAACAGTGCTGATAGTCGGTGGCCACTCGGACTTTATAGTGCTGGTAGTCGGTGGCCACTCGGACTTTATAGTGCTG